CTCACAGGAATTTACAGATCTAATTTTGGTGAGACCTGCTGATAACATGAACTAGCAAAACGAACTAGCCACATGGCGAAATAGCCCTCCCAAGCCCAACAGCGCAAGAAAATGTATCGGAAACAAAACCTGCCACCTTGGCGGCTCGTTACTTTCTAGGGAAACGAGTCTTTCAGCAATTCAACTTTTAACAATGCACAATATGTTACGATTGTGACTATATAAGTGTCTCATTACGACAGAACTTATGAAAACCACCTTTTTTGGTGAATATTTCTCGGCATGCACTTATCCCTAGTCCTTTGTGTTACTATGCAACCAAGTGCGTCTAACACTTACCAGTCAAGCAAAAAGATGAATCATTGAAGTGCAGTGACAGCTGTAAAGTCGATTTTAAAATATTAAATACATGTAGTAAATAACAAAAAACATTATGTAAATAAAAACTGGGAATCTTAGAGGGCTCAGCTTTTGGCGTTCTCTAACTCTTTCTAGGATTCGCCGCTCCTCAATCGAGGTTGTCAGAGCACTTTCTACGCAAGGGATGCCCAGCAATGGTTGTGTTTGGTCCGACAAAAATTTTTTCTCAATGTTGATTTTCCCGTTTCATGCGCACCACATATCTCCAGACTCGGAACCTCTGAGATAAGGTAGGCGTGGCTGCGTACTCAGCTAAACTTGGCAGAGCCTGTGCTTTCAGAGATATTTTCATTTTGACACATTTGTGGTGGTGTCCCTGTTCAACACAGAACAAGATGCCAGTTGTCCTCAAAGGAAATAAGAGAGCAACCCATTCTGTGCCATGTCCAGAAGTCAAGCCTACTCCGTCTCATGTATAAGGAGGTACCTACAGGGTAGAGCATCGTGATGTGTGAAGTTGTGGTGTAGGTATGACCCCCTTCCGAAAGCGGGTGCCAGTACGACACCCCATCACCTCAATCCCTAACCACTGCTTGCCCTAGAACCCTGCTGCCAAAAGATTAGAGTTCTAGGGCAAACAACATTTCCATGGGCACTATTCAACTATTACTACCCCAATTTTCCGAAAACAGACCGGATCTTGATCGACTTTTTTCTACGGGGCAGATTTGGCTGAAATTTGGTTCTAGGGGTAATTCGACCTCGTGAACACGAATATCACATCCACTTGGCCTGGAAAAGTGCCTTCACCCGCATGCACCGTGGGTTTAGGGCATTTTGGCGCCGGCGCCTGTGGTGCGGGCGCCAGGCAGTTTCGGAAGGCAGGGGAGTAGGAGTGGATTATGATATCCTGTGTATCATGAGTAGCGAACTAACCCCTGAGGCACAAGTTTTCAGGAGATTTGGCTGGATCTGCGCTACCTCGGCGCATCCGACCTGTGAATTAGATTTAGGGGTATAATTCGACAATCGTGAACACAGACATTCACATTCACTTGGGCCTGAAAGTGCCTCGCGCCGGTGTTTAGGGCATTTTGGCAGCCTAGCGCCTGTGGTGCGGCGCCAGGCAGTTTCGGGGAGGAGGTGATGTGTAATCGTGTTCATGAAGGTGGGACTACCCTGGGCACAAGTTTTTAGGGACTTTTGGTGATCCTGCGCTAGCTCGGCGCATCGCGCCTTGGAGTCGGGCGCTAGCAGCTTTCGCGGAGAGCGGATGTGATATTCGTGTTCAGGAGGTCGACCCCTAGAACCCAACTTTCAGCCAAATCTGCCCCCGTAGAAAAAAGTCGATCAAGATCCGGCCGTTTTCGGAAAATTGGGGTAGTAATAGTTGAACAGTGCCAAACATTCAACTTCATTGCGGCAATGGAAGTTGTGCTCATGTACACTCGAAGTCTCTGAGATGCGGTAGGTGTGGCTGCGTAGCGGCGGCCACGTAGCGGCGGCCAAGGTTCTCGTGAATATTTTCGTTTTGCCACAGTTGTAATCATGTCTTCATCCAATGTGGAAGAAGGTAGCAGTTGTTTCAAATTGAAATATCTCACGAGTAACCTGTCCTATGCCATGTTTGAAGGCCACACCTACTCCCTATCAGGATAAGGTGTGTAAACCTTCAACCTTCCCTTGGCCGCCTACTGCCAAGAGATTAGAGTTTTAGTGTAGGGCGAACAACATCTCCGTGCACAAATACTTTTCTTACATAAACAGTTCGTTCAAAAATTTGATATTCTATGCCCTTGATTTTGCAAGCAAACTGCAACATCTGCCTTTGAATGCGATGGATGGCACTCACCTTTTTCTCTGATGACGTCCATTTGCAGTCTCTGCAGAGTGACAACAATGCTCAAGGAGAGAGATGGATATTTCGACATGATATTTCACTTTTGAGTGAAAAAAGCGAATGACTGATCTTTTCTAGTGAGATAAGAATAGACTAAGCTCTCTAGGACGAAACAAAGGTGTCATGAGTACGATAGGATTCTGACGTAGGGCTGGATGTTTCTGAAGATATCGAATTACCGAAACATATGCTATGAATGCTATCGGTAATCTATTTTGACGTACTTCAGCGAGAAAACTTCCAGTCAACATCGGAGGAACCTTTCTTTCAGTGTGTACTCGTCAGGGTAAGCACATTTGAATCGCTCTACAGGCGATCTCAACCCCACTTACGTCGGTATCGCAGCCCAATGCATTACAGACAGGGTACAGCATCGTTGTGCGAAACCCGGGGTCGTACTTGACCGCGGGAAAGGGGAGGGTCGTAAACGCAGGGTCGGTGAGCACCAAACAGCACAAAAGTGTCATCGCTAAGTTTGATGGAGCGGACGGAAAGCTGCAGAGGACCCGGATGTAAGGAAGACTACAAAATATTAAAACAATTGATTAGCAATATCAATAGTTAGCATGAACTCGTAAGTAGGTAGATGACTAAATAATACATCTCAAACAGATTCGTGCGTATCGACCTTTCCAAACCCTAAACAAACATCTGCTTGCATGGACAAAAATCACCTAAAATCAGAAGTTACACCTTTCCACCACCTCTGCGTAGAAGCGTAATGCACGGCGCACACTTGGACCAAATCGATCGATGAAATTATGTTTTGCCTCAGTTCATCGGGAAATATGTTTGCAACAGGTTGCGTTCGAGAAAAGTTATTCTCGTCTGAAGCAGAAAAACCCGCTCGCGATTTACCACTAATGCGTCCGTACATCCGAAATATTTCACGAAAGGGGGAAGATTCAGATTGCGAGTAGGTAGAAAACGCAACAGTAGAGACATTGCTTCAACATGCCGCCTTCCGTTCTGAAAAGCCCCACAATTAAAAAGGCTATACCCCCATAAAAAGTCCCGCGATTTCCACCCAGCCAACAGATCTGCTCCACCGCTAATTTGCCAGAGAATCATAAGCGGCCGCAAGCGCTTGCGAATCGTTACGTATCTAATCCTTCTCGTCAGAGCAAACAACAACAACTAGAACCGAAAAGAAAGGCGGGGGACGTACTGTCGCGCCGAATTTACACATCGCGTCTGGCTGTACGCCTTGACCTAAAGGTTAGGTTGCCTCGCTGCTTGGATTCAAGGAGCGTACACTTCCATCCTCAAGAGGTTCGAATCTGCGAGTCTGTCCTAAGGAGCAGATTTCAAAAATAGGGAGTAGCATTCAGACTCAGTAACGTGCCAGAAGGACAAAATCGCAGATGAATGAAGATAACTGTGAATGGTTGTCCTTCTGAATGACGTGTTGGGCACCAAAAATCAATGCGATTCCGCTTTTTGGCGATTTTTATGCACGGCCTGCAGCAAAGGCATGTCGCGAGTGGAACCAAAAAGTCCTTGTCCCTTCTCAATAGGTTTGTTTGATGCAACAAGCAGCCAGAAGAAATCGTCACTCCATAAGCGTAGATCCCTCCGAGCAAAACGCTACATTCAGCACGCTTCGGCTTTGCGTAACCTACCCTAGGGGTCGTATTTTAGCCATTGGGGAGAAACAGGCTCATATTCTTTGCTCATGGCCGTCAGCATTAATGGAAACGGATTGAGTTAGGAGATCCATATTGATGCGGAAATCATCAGGTAGTGGTAGAACGCTGGATAAGTTACTCTGTTGGTAAAGTGGGTCGCACTAAGGGAAGGGGTTTAGGAAGAGGGATGGGTCATCTTCGCCGCTTTACACGCTGTGTACTGATGTAGCGATAGTACATATGAAATGCTCAAATATAGCGCATGTGTGACGGGGAACATTGGGGAAAGGTCGACAGCCATGAAACGATTTTATCGCGCTCAGAAGAACTCCTACCTAAGCCAGATTGGCCCGGATATGGGACAAGACAATCGTAATATGAGTAGTGGGCGTGGCGAGCGTCGCAGACGAGTTTGCCCTGCCTGGTCACTTCAATCTAAGTGGGACGGGAAAATTCGATAACTCGTCACAGAGTCTTGTCTCGGCTTATTTTAGATTCACATGAGTCTCGCTGCTTCGGTCAACCCATGCCGCGCACCGCCTCCCAACGCGCGCGATAAATTCCGATTGTCTTGTCCTCGCTGCCCCCATTAACTGAATCCTGATTCCGTTGACCCTCTTCTCTTAAGCTCGGCGATGACTGCTGATCAGGGCAGCGCCCTGCTTCGGAGAATACGACCCTTCACTCGATTTCGTCTCCTAATACGACCTCCCTCCTCTTCCATATCCTACCCATCTTCCCACCTTTTACTTTTTCCTACCAATTTTTCCAAAATTCACAACGATTTTTCGGTTTTTCCCCAAATGATAGCTGTCTTCGAGCGGGGAGGGGGTAGGGTATAGTACAACAGAGAAACAGGAAAAGTCAGGACCTTCCCCCCCTCCCCCAACGTAGTACTACCCCCGCTGGAAATTCCCCAACGTACGACATGGTCTGGTTGCAATCATCAAGGATGAATTGTTTTGCGCTAGTACTGGCACAAAAAAATGAGGGTGGGACCTTAATAGCAAAGCTCAGTCGCCTTGCTTGGAAGTACATGGGATATAATATCCTTAGTATCAGTCCTGGAGGAGGGCGAGTGTCCGCCGGGATATAATGAGGTGGATTGATGGCAGCGCTATAAGTAACAGTAGTTAGGATCAGACTGGTACCTAATTTGTTTAAAAATTCACTGATTTGAAGGGAACTCATTACGCCTAGTTAAATAACTCTGAAGTGCTTGATTGACGCTTAGTGTGGAAGGCCTGGCATCGCGCTAAATCCAGCCCTCTGGCATCGCATCCGCAGCCAGCGGACAATATCGTATATTGTAATATATAATATTGTATCTAATTGGTTCAGCTTAATGAAGCACTTTCAGGTCGCATCAGTCAGGCTGCGTTTCATACTTTGCCACCAGCTACCCATAGCATCCACCAGCTTTCCGAGCGTCCGGCAGCGTCAGCGACTAGGAAAGTACACATATCGATCTAGCGTCTGCCAGCTTCCTCCAGCGTCTACCAGCGTCCGGTAGAACGGGGTATGGCGGGATAGGGGGTAGCAGACAGGTCCCCTCCTAACGCGCCATATACTCTATCGGCAGTCTCCCCCTATTCCATCAGCCCCAAATTCTCCTCTTCCGGACGCTGGTAAACGCTGGTGCACGCCGGCACACGCTGGTAGACGCTAATCGCTACCCATACTTCCCTAGCCCTCCAGACACTGATGAACGGTTCTAGACGCAGGCAGGCGCTAGATCGATATCTATATTTTTCTCGTCGGTGACGCTGTCGAACGCTATCTGTCGCTGGTGGACGCTAGCAGACGCCGACAGACGCTAGGCATATCTATACTTTCCATTTCACTGACGCTGACGGACGCTTGGAACACTGGTGGACGCTATTGGTCGCTAGTGGACGCTGCACCAGAGTGTGAACGCAGCCTTACCTTAAGTTCTACTACGATTTCTATGCACGCGTAGCTTCTTGTAACATCGTCATATCACCACAGCTTGGATTTCCTGACCCGCTTCCGACAAAATGGAATGACGGAAGGAACTGGACAGGTCACAAAGGAATCAGAACATAACCAATACAGTAAACATTACAAATATATATTTCCCATAGAAGAAAAGTTGATTTAATGTACAAGTAAACATAAAATGTCTGATAAAAGAGCATTCAATCACGTCTGAGAAACCGGCAATCCTCACAGAAGCCGGGCCAGTGCTATACAGGAAAAGCTGAGGTTGAGGCTCGTTGTGAAGAGATTCGATTCGAGTTTGACGACAATCGCAACATCTGCAGTTGCCGAATCGCCGCTGCTGCATTGTAGGCCTAGAAATATGTCGTACGCAACATTCAGGCTTTTTCGGTATTATTTTTTATTAAATATTTTTATAGGAGGGCGTGTTGAAGACACAATCTGCGATAAGCATGTGGACGGATCTGTTCACCACTACCCTTCTGCACTGGCTCCTGTTTGCTGTCTGAAGAAAGAAAGCGTCCTCACAGGGCACAGTGGCAGGCCTGACTCCGCCCACAGGACCAACGTGGGCTGTGCCATGTTGAACGGGGGCAGTGCAGCAGCGATGAGAAGCAGTTATTCAGGGACCTTTGCTCAGTCGGACCACCCAATACTTTCATCTTTCTCTGCCTCTTAATTGGTCTGAAGCTTACTAGGAGGATGAACACCGACTCGGGCATTTCCAACCCTTGCATGTTATTATGAACCCCACATTCAAAAGCCTCCGCGAATCTTGGGATAACTCAGAGACACGGCGCATTTTGAAGACGAACGATCGGCACATTGCGCTAAACTTTTGCCCTCATACTACTAATACAACTGTCATGGGGAAGGGGGAGAAGAGCGTAACGCGACCAGATAAGGGCCAGGCTCCAGGTCTTCTCCCCTGATACATGCCTGACAGTTGAACAAGATATACAGGCCGAACCATATGGGTGAGCTACGTTCAACCTGTAAATTCTACTAACAAAGAACTGCCCCCCACCACTCCCTCCTCCGAGTCCAACTCTGCTTCACCGACAGCATCCATAATTTAAGGCAGCAAACACGTTACGGGTCTACGGAGCAAATGAAAAAGGGACTCTATTATTGACTAGTTGGGGCAACTTGCGCAATTTAGTCAGACCCATTTGTTAGTTACATGGCACCAACCTAAACAGGTCATCAATCTGGTCAGACTTGTGCAACTGTTAAGTTGTGAAAATCGTTCGAAGTAAGCACACCTCCGGTCATCATGAGCTTGGAGGTGTTTCAGGGGAATGCCCCCACCAAGCCGAACTGCTACAAATAGCTCTGATAAAGGTCCAACAAAAAGAAACGCTTGACACTTCCGTAATTGGAGGAAGCGTGGGGCAGAACTGCGAGCTTTCTGGCTCTCTGTGTCCTTAGTGGCGTAGTGCAACTCAACCGAGACCAACACTTATCGTAGGGATGGAATTGATGAGTATAGGGAAGTAGCACCCGAGTCCTTAAAATAACCCCGACCCTAAGGCCCTCCGCCTGTATAAGTAGAGGATACGATAGAGAAGAAGATACTGACCTTTCGCCAATTTCTCCTCGCCAAAGACTTTTTGAGGTGAGTAACGACGGAACCGTGAATGTCGGTAGTGTAGGCAGTATTGCCACTGATCCTGCAAAACTCAGCTTAAGGAATGGATCACTAGAAAGACCAGCTGCCAAAACTTACCAAGGATGCTCAAGAGCCTGTTCACAAGTGAAACGCTGCTCCGGATCACAGCACATCAAATGAGAGATGAAATCTTTGGCTAAAATAGTACCTTCAACATCGGTAGGTTGACAACTGACATTCTCCCAAATGGCTTACCGGAATCTGAGATCTGGTCCCAATATGGGGCATCAAATTCGTATTCACCCTTGATGATTGATGCATAAGAGATTCGGCAATCGCTGTTCGTCATAAAAAAGGACGGATATCTGGAATCAGTAAGCAGGCTGTTTACTCATTTTCGAACTGAATATATAAGTGTAGTGAAAAAAAGTTAAAAAATGTAGCCGTTGTGATGTGCTTGCACAAATTAATGCGCCACACATTTAGCTCTTTGTTAACTAATATATGGTGGTCAATATAAGAGTATTTGTTTCCGTTTCGCACGTGCCCATATAGAGCGAAACACAACGAGTTAGATACAGGGGGGCCAAAAAAAGACTTTTTTCTTCCTCGACTTCGAGGCGCTATAAGTTACACTTTATCAAATTATTATCGGACATTTCTACCACCATATTAAAGAGCATATCAAATACTATCATGATACTCCGCCACAGCCTTCTGGAGGAGCGCCATCGAGAGATTCTGCCACGCGACCGTCAGTGGGTGCGTGAGTTCAGCGAGATCGTTGATTTCTCCGCCACTGTAGACCACCCTATTGAACTCCGCCCGAGCCAGGTAATTGAAGGGGGTTTAGATCTTAGGCCTGCTTAGATATTCCACTTTTCAGGTACTCAACCCCTTCCATTACAAGTAGGCAAGAGTTTCTCCAACGCCCTTCGATTTCATGTGGTGGCACTCAATGCTGTAGCAGTACAAAGTTTCCAAGAAGGTACGGGCGACCACATGTGAGGAGGATATTCTTTCACGAGCCAAAGTATACGCGCCAGCGCTCACCTTAGTCCGGGCCCACGAAGAAAATATCGGTCTCTCCATTCCAGGTACGTCCGGTCCCACCATCAACTGGCGCCTTGGCGACTGAGGTGAAGATGATGTCCTAGATCGTAGCGTACGTTGACGAGGGCTCGATAATGATGGTTTTCATAGATCGAGAGTACTTGCTCTAAAGGTAAGCTTAATCCCATGTGTGCATCCACACTAGAAGTTTCGCAGCTGTTTGGAGGTGACATGAATTCCAAGTCTTCTCCAGTCAGGCTGCGACTGGAGATGACTTCATATTTTGGTGTACATGAGGGGCGCAGCGTCGCTGCTTAGGAGGAACATCTTGAGTATCTCCGCCTGTTACTCGTATCCGACCGTCCTCGTGTCTGGGGAGCGAAAACTGCTTCGATATGGTAACTTGGTCTGAATTTTTTCTTTGCCACCCCCCCTGTATTTATTAATCCTCGTTTTTGTGTCGTCAGTAAATGGAAAGAAGAATAATGAGTTGTACAAGATCAATATTTCGAAAATTAATATTTACTGAATAATAAATTCATGAAATGCAATAAGATTTCTTCTAAGATGTTTTGTAGTTTCAAAAATTATTTAATTGTGATTTGCATTTTCTCTTTACTGCTAGTTCTATTAGTTTATAATGAGTGATCTTATAATGATAGATGACGATAAGTTGATAAGAATGCCTTTCACCTAAGGATTTCCTTTTCATTTTTTGTTGTATTTGCCTGTTTTTGATAGTTGATTTTTCCGCGGTTATTGACTCCAGAAGTTTTTCTGTTTCATGTGCTATATATTACCCTCCCCGCTTCGAACTCCACTGCTGGCAGCAAAATCTATCGGGAAAACCAGGAAAATTCTCAGTATATTCCGGAAAAAGTGATAGGAGGTTGGGAAAATCTAAGCAAGTGTTGGCTAGGATGGGCAGGGAGAAGCGAGGAGGTTGTATTTTCCTCCCGTTTCACATTTGCTATATTTCCCCTCCAACCCCCCCCCTCCCCCGCTCGACAGCTCGACAGCCATCAGAAGAGGGAACTGGGTGCAGGATCGTATCGAGCCATCCCTCCTTAGAAGGGTAGTACGGAGTCGACCAAAATCCCCAACTAATGATGTGCTCTGCCCCCTCCCCATCACTAACAATTTGGCAGGATGATCGATCGGTTGTGGAAAAGGAAGTATAAAGGCTATTCAAATCAATATTAAGCAAAAGGGTCCTCAACGTGAGACGTCTCCCGACTACAAAAAAAGCCTAAGTAAAAACATTCCGTGGAAAGTACATGATATGAAGCTATAAGACTTCAAGGAATGAACAATGCTTTTAACTGCACTGGTTCATGCGCACATTTTGAGTACATTCCACATTTTGCACCCCCAGTTCAAAGATCTTATTCGCTAAGTCCGACAGCCATAGAGGCCAAGTTACCTGAGTTTAGTTCCACTGAACTTTACGCAGTATTCGGTGTCTACGGCAAGAGAGGGAGTCGAGCAGGTGATCCGACTGGTTTCACAGTGAAAAAGAATTTTTGGCGGTTTTCGGCTTGGGATAGGCATTTTGCACTTTTCATTTCCTTTTAGATCAGACATTTCTTGCACTTTTCTTTTCCCTTTTTCTAATTCATTGTTAGCTGGCAATTTTATATTTGGCTGAAACCTGTAAACTCCTTAGGCCAGTTAAGGATCGGTACAAGTTCACCAGGTGGCCTTGCTCGGCTCCGCTGTGTACCATTTAGTTTTTCCCCCTCTCCCACCCTAAAGCGCCTGATTTTTGTCGGGATTCATTACTACCAGGGTATAGGATCCTGATAGGAAAAGTTTGAAAGTACGACCCCACTTTCAGAAATCAAGGGTACCTTGGGGAAATCTTATTGGTAGTATACCCTAGTCCCCCTGGATTGGTGGGTTCATGTGGGGTGCACCCATCAACGTGGCCGTGAGGTCCTAACTCGATCCACATCCGGAGTGCCCGCCTTAGACGGCCAATTGCGCCCTCGTCACCGTTCTTTTAGACGAACATGCCGCTTCCGAAGGAAAAAAAAACAAAATGGACGCGTCGATTAGAAAAAGGGGGCCTCATGTTTTTGAATGGTAGATCACTGGCAAATCGACGTGCACGCCGAAAAGATGGATGTTCAAGAACTTCAGCGCCATTCCTCCTCTTCTATTCGGTCATCTCAGAATAGAAGGACTTTGGTTTGCTATTTTAAGGTGAAAAAATCCCCTGGCTCCACGATAACTCACACTAACCTGGACAACCTTTACCCCAGAAGTCAGCCTCCTCCGCAAGCGAATGAAATTAAAATGCATCGAAACCTTTCGGCAGTTCAACGGAATTTAATAGGAAAGAGATTTAAAGTTATACTCCAAATGGCTATAATTCCCAGTGTAAAAGCAAATTAGAGATGAGTTGGGGCAATGCTAGTGACTTACCGCGCAGAGCCAAAATTATAGCCAATTACTCCTATCGCACCATACAATCCGACAGCCTTTTCCATATGGTTTCTGTTGAAGGACTTCTGGTGCAACATACCTTGAAAAATAGACGGTGAGACTCAGCAAAACCAACTATTTCTGAGATTAAGATTACAGTCCAAGCCAGTCGTATGGGCGGAGTCAGTCAACCAAGCTACTCTCTGGACTAGCGCTTCAAAGTTCATTTTGTGAAATTTCAGGACACCCGGGATTTCCCACGAGAGTAAAGTGTTCTGCCTCTTTCCCTTCCTACGTTTTCAGCTCGAGAACGTAAGAGCCTCTAAGGTGATGTAAGGATAGGACACTCGCCCGGTTAGCGCGACAATGCGGCAGTCTTGAAGCCTCTTACAGCATGACCTTAGTGCATAGCTTAGCCATCCTTGTGAGAACTATCGTGAGCCCAAACAGCCGTTACCAACCAAAAACCACTTTCACCTATTTTCTCTGGCGAAGGTAGGGCAGCTGCGAGAGTGGCTAAGGCTGGGAGCCGGTTTGCATTTTAATAAATTCGGGATTGGCCGATTGGCTCCAAGACGTCCTGAAGGGATCCAAATTTAGCCGATTGGGTGAACGCCAGCTGCCCCTATAGTCGCTGTCGTAAGATTCCGAATCTAGCGCATGTCCATCTTCCAATGGCGCACCCCTTGTCCCCAAGGCGAGGTTGTGTAGCCGCAAAGTCGCCTATTACGAATGAAGCCCAAGGTCAGGTGCTTGGCCACCTCTCGCTCAACCTATCCGAACTATTCACCTGCCCATTCAACCGTTGGTTTCAGGGCGGAAACACACCTTTGAACCTCACGGAGTCCCCACAAATCCGCAAGGGCCATGTCACGTTCGGAGAGCCGTCACCTATGGTGAAAGGAAATGAAGTGCATGGCGCATCCCGGGCCACCACCCCTAACTCATCAACTCTGGAAGCTTCCTCTCTACTATACCTTAGCCTATTCCTTCATACAGTTAAAGTTGCAGTGCACAACAACTGTTCTCACCAGCAGGAACGCTACGAGTTATACGAGTACTACAAAACTACCGGGCTTCAGGGGTTGTTCAAACCCCTTTGGAATGCGCCACGCATTCAGATCACGTTTAGATTGGCAATGGCGACCCATAGAGCAGAGAAGCGTTGACTGGTCTGGGATAACACTCAGCATTTGATGTTTGGTCCAAGCGCATGGAACCAGCTTCCTCTCCCAGCTCTTTCACTATGGTGATGAGAAGAGATAAATCTAGTCCTTACCCCGGAGTTCCGCAGGCGGTTGCCATTACGCCGGAATCTTCGGTTTTTGAGAGGCCAAAGTCTGACACCATGATTTTTGAGTCCTAAACAGAGCAATTAGGAGACCGGTTGAAACCGAGCCCATTTCGGACTAAAACGCGGCAGTTCAGTACTGGTTGCACCTCGTCTTGATTGAAGTACAAGAGGTTTTCTGGCTTGAGATCTCGATGAACGACACCATTCCCGTGCATGAACGAGACAGCGTGCAGCACCTGAAGTTTGAGCTAATTAAATTTGACCTTGAAAAGCACCATAATCTTCAAAGGACCCACCTGTCGTATTAAATGGCTCGCGTCTTTTTCTGTGTAGGACCCTTTAGCGACTATTCGATCAAATAGTTCTCCACCTGTGACCAGTTCCATAACGAGGTATACGTATTGCTTCTCTTCATATGTATCGTATAATTGAACAATGTTCGGATGCCGCAGCCTATAAGCACATGTCGAATTATTTCGTGGGCTAAAAAGCGTGGCTTGGGCAGCTATTCCAGAAATCAGTCTCTGTTTTGGTTTATAAAACGTATGCGGGACCACCTACTTGAGCTGTTCAAACCAAATGCGGAAGAGAACCGGACCTCAAGCAGTCTAGGAGCCACGCGGGTCGCACGTTCAAGGCTCTGTCAATTCTCAAAGCTTAGCAGGGCGCAGTACGGCCAGAGTCTGGCGTTCGGTCCAGTGGATTCGGACAGTCCTGTTTTTGCAGTTTTCGTGGCCCAGAATGGAGGGTAGCGCTAAAAACTGCCTTTTCTTGGCCAAGCAGAATCGGGAAGGGGGAAAACCCGCCAGGATTGATCGCGTCGATACTGCCCAATCTAAAGGCTCCCATTACTGTGTGCGGCGGCAGCACATCAACGACCATCTCTGCATCCTGCCAGCCCATGTCAGACCGCTAGGACAAGTACCTATATCGATCTGTCAAGAATGGTGCATCTACGGGTGGGCGTCCTCCCGGCGATCCTCCGGGGCTCTGCCAGCTTATCATCAAGACGGTCTCGAGCTAACGTTTTTACCGCCGTCTAACAAGCGACCAGAGAGCACACAGAATTATGGACAGTACGAGCAGTTAGCAGAGGCCTGGTTAGTGCTATGAGAAAAGGAGGAAATAGACAGACTGCGATGAGACAGATCGTGTAGTTGTTGTAGGCTGTGCAACCACAACGCCCCACTAATTACGATGCGTATTTCCTGGTCGCAGTGTGGACAGACACAATAGACACTCGGCAGATGGCTAGATTGAAATTGATTGCATGGCTTTTCTTTCCATCGAGACAGCTGACAGGTAGTTGGCCCAGAAGCTGGTCGACGATGGCCGTTACCACTCAGATATCTTATACCTTCCTGGCCCGCTGGACGCTGACGGACGCTCCAAACGCTAGATGGCGCTGGTGGACGCTAGTTGATCGCTAAGTTGCGACTCTGCCCTGCCAAAGTATGAACACAGCTACAAAGAGTGTGCGAAACGCACGTGGTACGTACGGGAGAAGAGGAGAAAAGAAGCCTATACAGACCGATCCCTTTCACCCCATCCAATGTGAGAGTCCGAGAGTGGGCGCAGGCACAAAAAAAACAAACAAGTGTTCGCTGCGTAGCCAATTCTCGAATTCTCAGCTCGGGTGTAGAGCACTTTCTTCGACTTCCAGTTAACACGTACTTTTTATGTTCTGGGAATTCTCCTTTTTCTCCGGTTTCTTCCCTTTCTGGGTTTTTCTCACAAACGCGACCTTTTGGAAATGTCTCATTGAACCATGCCCTCTAAGTACCGTCGCCCTCTTCTTGCATTTTTGAGTAAAGGTCACCTCTTTCTATGGAGAAGGGCCTAAGAAAACCTTATTTGAGGACACGGACACTGAATGAACAGATTAATTGTGCTAATATTTTTTTGAGCTAGATATTCGCTGAATAAAGCAGAAAACGACAGAAAGTCGAGAAAAATATCATCAGAATAGGCTCACTCTTTGATGTTGTTTCTAGAGGAGACACCTCAGTGCACAGTAAATCTCCAAAAGGAGCGCCACCATCAGCGAACGACAGTTTAGCTCACTAACAGGACTACATAAGCTAGAGCTATGTCAGACAAAATCATTTGGGAACACATTGCCAGGATTTCTAGAGTTGCCATGTACGCTTTCTGTCAACCATGACATTGTTTCGATTGAAAGATGCTTGTTGGCATTTGCTCCACAACTTCACAGGAGGTTGGCAAACCAACTTCATTGGCCTAAGTTATGGCAGGTTCGCCTTTTTCAGAGACTGTAAGGACCGAAGTTTCAGTGATTACCCATTCGAACGTCTGTACAGTCCTCATGAAGTTTGGGATCAGTCCATGTCATCGTGTAGTTGACAGTGATACAGTATCTTTGACCCCTCAAGTCGGCAGAGTAGCTTTTAGAGTGATATCCATTTGGTTTCTTTCCTCTTTAAAAGCTATAAACA